AATGAAGTAAGTTGAAAACACTGATGAGAAGTGTTCTTTCATCTCAAAAATACATATATCCTACTGAATGTCAATTAAAACGATAGATTGTGAAAACTTAACTTTTTTACATCTGCGTAGTCAACAACATCCATACCAGAAGTAACTTCATTTCGTGGTTAATATCAAATTATTGGCTCTGAAAACTGCTTCTTTGTCGGGTATTGATTTGATAACAGAGTATTTCCACTCATACATTAGTTTGGGCATCTTGAGAGAATGTTTACTGAAATAACAGTAATAACAAATATCGATGAAATTCCAGTATAAAATATCCCTTTGACATTATCTTTTTTTCCTAGAGTTTTGGGTCGCCCCCTTGTAGCAATACTTGTCCTCGGAAGAAGAAATAAGAAGTAGACGAAAACGTAGAAAGAGTGGTTACTTTTTGAAACAAGTATCTACCGCATTTACGAAGATAAATAAAGATTCAACAGAGTGTGTTCCTATGAAGTGAACTATTCGTAAAAATAAACGCATTGCAATTATATCCTAATGTTTGTCCCTAAGCTTGTATACAAATATTCCAACAAAACAATTTTGAAAAAATGTAAAGTATGCAAGAAACTACCGGATGTAAGGCATATATCCTTTACGAATCTTCTAATGTGCGAGTCGAAAAAGGACGATCCGCAAGATTCACCTTTAAAAAAACTCTTGGAAGAATCATCGACCTTTCAGAACATTTCTCCATTAAGCAAAGAACAACAATGGGCAACGCTACCTTATACGGAAGACCCCAACACGGCGTTGTCACGAAAACAAGGAGATTACTTCAAAAACCCAGGAAATGACCCTCGAGACTCTTCCATTATACTTTTTCCAGGTCAAGGCACACAATATGTAGGCATGGCTAAAGAGCTCATGAAATTTCCCATGGCCAAAGACCTTTTCGAACTCGCCAACCACATACTTGGTTATGATTTACTTAAAGTGTGTTTAAAAGGGCCTCAGGAGAAATTGGACCAGACACAGTTTGCTCAACCGGCGATAATGGTTTCTTCTCTAGCAGCTATTGAACAGCTCAAAGAAGAGCGACCTAATGCTGTTGCAAACTGTGTGGCTACAGCTGGTTTTAGTCTTGGAGAAATCACAGCACTTGTATTCGCCGGTTCTCTTGGGTTTGAAAGAGGTTCGTTAAATCTTTTTATTTTGTGGTGCACTCCTTTCAAATATTTTCTTTTCCCATAAGGAAAGTTCATAGGTTTCAATTCATTATTGGATATTATGCACATGTCCCAGCACTTCTTTCATTCCTAAAGAAACTTCCCAAACTTGATCTTTGAGATAGCCTTCAGCGATGCACTTCTAAATTCATGTATGCTTGTAAAATTATGGTCCTTCAAGGTTCTCTCAATTTCTGGAAATAGAATAAAGTCACACATAACCATGTCTGGCAAATATGGAGGCTGGGGCAACGTTACAATATTGTTTTTGGCTAAATACTCATAAACAAGCAATACAGTATGAACAGGTGCATTATCATGGTGCAAAAGCCATGAATTGTTGCTCTGAAAATCCAGACTTTTTTTTCAGAAATCGTTCATAATCATTTAATTTCCTTTTTCTATATTTACATCGATCGTTGAGCTGTTCAGACTGCCAGGGTGTTCGTTATCTTCAATGTTTTTTCAGTTATCTTGGAAATAATAATACCACTTGTAAACTCTTGTTTCGCTAATAACAGACTCACCTTAGGCCTTTGTTAACAAATTGACTAAACCCAACTGCTAAATGAAATATTACATTTAATTTCAGCTTTACAGCTTGTGAATATTCGTGCTGAAGCAATGCAACTGGCTGCTGAAGCATATAAAGGAGGCATGCTCACTATAATGATTCGACCTGATAGTAAATTGAATTACGCCTGTTTGAAAGCTAAAGATTGGGCTGTGGATAAAGGAGATCCAATCCCTGAATGCAAGATCGCCAATTACTTATATCCAGATTGCAAGGTTGTGTCGGGTAGTGAATCGGTAAGGGACATTCAATTCCTTTCTATAACTATAATAGTATACTTCATTGTCTTTCTTAAGTATTCAAGTATTTATACCTTGTATGAACACACAAAAGGAACCTATTGTACACCAAAACGTGTGGTACTGTTTTATAAAATGAACTGTTCAGTAAAATTTCCACAATAAAATATAATACTTGGATATGTTAGTACCATCATAAATCTACATGAAAATGTTTTGAATAAATGAATAAAAAAAATTATCAGAACAATATTCCAAATAGTTCAATTAGCGTTTTCTTGAGCTCTAATTGAACAGGTATGTTATATTGAAGATGATANCGATTCTAATACCATAGTTATACAACTTCGATAAAAGTATATCGTGGTCCACACAGTCGAAAGCTCGACTCAGGTCACAGAAAATGCCAATTGAGACCTCCTTGTTCTATATGGTTTATGAGATTGTCATAGAACTCATAGATTGCGCTAGTTGTTTATTTACCAGGTCGAAAACCGTGCTGGCTATTTGTCAAAATATTATGCTCATTGATAAAATGCATCAGCCTGTCCAAAAATCCATATTCGAAAACTTTAGAGAAACTACTGCAAATCGTTATTGGTCTATAATTTTCCATGTAATCGGGACAGTGTTTTTTATAAATAGGAATGACTTTCCCTTTCTTGAGGGTTGTGGGGAATTTTCCTGTTTCGAATGAAAGATTTAATGAAAAGGTCAAAGGTTCTATTATAACATTCATAACTTTTTGATCTGAAAATGTGGAGGTATTGAAGATCACTATTTTTTTCTGATAAAACGGTGTTGAAATGGTCATCCAACTATCTTTTTTACATGCTCAGCCGCTATCTCAATCAGTCCTTTTGAAGGTATATCGTTTCCAACATTTATTTTACTGTTTAGGAACTCTCTGATCTGCCATCCTTTTCAGTTCTCCAGAAAATACTACAGCTTCATGGGCTCTTTGCATTTTCTCCTTTCATCTTTTGATGATACCAATTTCAACAATATTGTTCCCTGCACTTGTATTTTGCAAATGTGGATTTGTCCGATTCTTCAATTTTTGGCGACTATTCTTCTCTATGAATATATTTCTTGGGGCCCTCTACAAGAAGTTTACATTATTCGAAAAATGATCTTTGTTGCCGACTATATGTTCCTCACATCATCATTCCTGATACAAATAAAAATTTCATATTTTTGTCAGCAATAATTATAAGGAACCTAAGTCAGTCCCTCAGTATTCAACAGTGAATTAGCTCTGATTTTATGAGTCCGCCTCTGTGCTCCTACTCTTCACGATATCGTGGAAGACCGACATTCACCATTATCACTTTCCTCTTTCTCCCATTTCTTTTCATCAGAATGATTAATGAATGGTATAAACCACGCCCCGGACTAATTCAACATTCTCGAAAAATGTGTCTCATTTAAATTTCAAATCATGAAATCAATTTTAATTGCCAATTTCTGAGATTCGAGGGATCAAAATTCAAACGAAGAATGTTATTTTCTGAGGTTTCATGCAGAAAGGATAAAGTTCTGAAATGGAAAAGTAATTAACTAAATGTCTTAATTTTATTCGTTTCCCTTCTGTTTAATTCGTTAGAATCGTTTTTGAGTTATAACCTTTCTTTTTCCGTTTTATATGCACATGAGATCGAACTAAGCATGGTTCAGTTCATCAATTTTATTATTGGAAAGATATCAGCGGCGATATTCCGTTATGGTACGAGCAACGTCGAGAAAACAAGAATTTCAGATGGGCCAGTTCTTAGATCGGTCTGACAAATTAATTTTGGGGTTTTAGATACTTATAGAACAGAAAATCAACTCTATACAAAGATGTGTATATCCTTCATTTCTTCGGAAAATTTCCACATTTTAATATGAAGACGTGGAAAGCCAAAACCGCTCTTACTCTGTAAACTTCCAGAAGAAAGGTGGAAATGATTTAAATTACCAGGGCCTAATACTATATATTTCCTCGCCTTCGCTACTGCATAATCTTTCAATTCTCAGAACGAGTTCAATCAGATAAATTCTTATGTTTTGAATACTTTGTGAGAATTTCATGTCGAAATTCCACTTAGTAATCCAATTTACGATTACAATAAATTTCCACGTTTTACGATGAGTACCCATCTAGCACATTTTTCATTCTTTTTATATCATAGGAACGTATAAAAAGTTTCTCATAAATTTCATATTCGAATTCGATGAAATGTTGTCATTAGGATTCTTTTACTGTGTAATCCGTTAATATTTTGATTGATTGATGTTCTGGATTTAATCAATGAGAGGCATATTGCATTTTATTGCCTGCTCGAGAGGGTAGCGGGTGGTGTTCCAATATTTTGTCGTAACATAGTCGTTGTCCCACTTTTGATGAAAAATTCTTGACAGGAAGGAACCTAATTTCTCAAACCAGTGCAAGGCAGTTCTTCATCATTCACTGGAATTTTCTCAGCATTATTCCATAATTATTCGAACTAACAATGTCAGTGAGAATTATAGAGTTTATTAATCAATATAACTCATTTAGTAGGCTTCAACATGGATTCTTACAGGGTAGATCAACACAAAGGACCATATATCAATGCACACAAAATATAACGAACATAATGAAAGAAAAATTGATAGCTCTCAGGATGTTTTTGAATATATCCAAAGCATATGAGTGCTTGAATCATCAACTAATGTTAATGAAATCAAAAAGTTATGGTATATGAGCTTCAGCGCTGGAGTGGGTTGAATACTACCTATCAGATATCCTTCAATCTGTAGGAATAAAACGAAATGGAAGGGTCTATAACGACTTATGTAATATAAACCTAAACTAACGTCAGTTCAAAACTATCTTCGCAGATGACACAAGTCTGTTATCAGGTGGTGAAACCTTCCCAGAGATGATGGTGAATAGTACAGATATATTCAACAAAACTAAGGACTGGTTCAATAAAAATAAACGTATCCTAAATGAATCGAAGACACATATTATTTTGTTTAGAACAAACCAAGACAACATTGATTATCCAGTTAGGGTGGACCTTCAAAACTCTTCTTTTAAACCAGTGGTCGCCAACCTGTCGATCGCGAGCTACCGGTAGCTCGCGGATGCAATTCTAGTAGCTCTCACAACGATTTTAATTTAAAAAATACAAACTGCAAAAATCAGAGAAGCTTCCGAAAATTCCACAAAAAAATCTAATTGTCATAATATTAAACATAAACAGCGGCAACGTTGCGGTGAGCGATCTGCCGCTGACGCCATCAAGCTAGAATCGGCTAGAACCGACCAGCCGGACCAGCGCGTTAGTGTTCGAGAACGATCTGGATTGCTTTGAACGGGATAAATACG